TAAAATGTTACGGGTCTCTGTTGCTATGGCGACAGGAGGGGGCTGGTTGCCGTGGCAGCCAGTATGGGGGGGGGGCTAATTAAGGTTCATTGCAGCAGTATAACGAACTTCATGATGCTTTTGCTTTGTGAAATGGAAGATGGTTAAAATATGATTATTTCTTTTAATTATCCTACTGTACAGAGTGTGTGTGTGTGTGTGTGTGTGCTGGCTTACTTCTGCACGTATGTTTATTACACGTGAAATTAAATGTCTCAGAACGGGACATTCATTTAGGGAGAGACAGAGCAATTACAGAATCTTCAGCCATTATATTTCTCTTTTCTTGTCAAGTGTGTGCGTTTATTTCAGAGCTGATTTTCAGAAAGAAATGTGAGTCACGTCAATGGCTGTTTCTCCTCTCAACATCATTCTGAAGAATCTAATGAAGCATCAGCAGAGACTCTCAGGACTTGAGGCTGGATTCACAACAATCGTCTTAAGAATTGATCTCAAGAAATTCTCAAGAAGTGCAATTCTTCAAATTTTCTCAAAAGTTCTGTTTTCTTCAGAATAAAATGGCAGTAGTGTAATATAACAAAATAAATCCTGACGAACATTAATGATAAATCTATTTATTACACGGCTCTGTGGAATACTCAATTCTGATTGGTCAGTCAGCACATTCCGAGGTATGTTATTCCCCGTTAACAACCGGTAAAAACTAACAACACAGGTTCATCAGGGTAACTGCAGGCGGCACTATTCGCTTGCTCAGAAAAAAAATTTCTTCATGGAAGCTTTGCATTTGGTTGTCTAATAAAATATTAAAACTCAAATCAATATTCTCTGTACAAATATTTCATTCTGTCATCCTGGTATTGCGGACTTGCTCTCTCTTGTTTCATACAAACGCAGCTGCTGCCATTTTGAGACGATTGGTTTGTACACTGTAATGGATTGTTAGATAACTAACAAACTGGTAAGATTTTAAAACGGTTTCATCTTAAATCAATATCTTTTATTGCCATAATTATTTATGTTGTGAAATGCCGTGTAATAAGTAGTATGTCTGTAACATATCTCTTAATGTCTGTCTAGTTTGAACTTGCCGCTTACTAGCAACTGCTTTCTTCACGGAAACTTTGCGTTCAAATATTACAGCTCAAATCAATATTTCGTTTCTAATTATTTCGTTTTGTGGCAAGTAGCCATGTAATAAGCGGGATAATGTACATCCAGCCAGTTAAAAATAAAGTCCTTCAGTCTTATACAACAGCCCTCCGCTTCGCAACGATAAACCTGTTGGGCAGCAGGTCCAACGTCAGGAAAGCAGCAGGTCCTGATGGGATTTCTGGCCATGTTCTGAGGTCCTGTGCTGATCAGCTCGCTGGCTTGTTTTTCTGCGATAAGAACTGGCTGGATGTACATTATCCCTTACCTATTAAACACAGTAAGCACCTCACGATCATATTGTTTTTCTAAAGCGGAGATCAGGACAACTAGATGAGCCCCAGAGACAGATTCCCTCCAAAGACCCCATCATCTAGATGGACATCGGGACAAGATCACGGGAACAAGACAAGTCCTCTGCACAATCTTTGTTGCAGCCTAGAATTAAACTGCTGGTTTCATCTGGCCAGAGGAGAACGGCACAATATTTTGACACACTATTTCTCTGTTTAATACAGTAAAGCTACTTTGACACAATCGACATTGTAAAAATTGCTATATAAATAATGTTGACTTGACTTGACTTGACTTAAAGGGCATAAAAAGTGTTTGTTTAATGAATTTTCTTGTTCAAAAACCTTTTGACTAACCTTCAGTCGTCAAGAGCTGCAGGAAACGAGTGCAGATATCATCTGAAACCAACCTAATTCATGAATTCATTCAACATCTTAAATTTGGGTATTTAAGACAGTGTGAAGTTTGTGCTAACTTTAAGAAGTCATTTATACTGAATTAAACAAAATAAAATAATTCTTGCTACATTTTGTCTTAATAAAAAAATAAAATAATATTTGGAGAATAAAAAAAAATTCTACACATTTATTTTCAAAACATTTCAAGAATCCGTCCCCTGATGTGATCCCAAAAACCAGGACTAAAGCAAGAACCAGCTCATCAGAGGCTAGGCGCTGCAGAAAGAAGGTTTCAATGCCAAGACATCAAATAAAATGGTGAATGAGGGCATTTTGTGATTATTATACGTTTGCTTCATAACGTAAAAACTGATGACGTTTGTCTGGCAGATCACAGTCACTTCATACATGGCATAAACGCTGTAAAAACATCCTGTGGGCAACCGAGAGCTTTTTCATTTCAGATCTGGGATGTTGAAAATGTCAGCAGTTTAATTGAGGAGATAAAGCTGAGAGAGAGAGAGAGAGATCGAGAGAGAGAGAGAGAGAGAGGAATACAAACATCGTCTCTCGCAGGGAAACAGATTCAATTAAGGAGTTTCTGTGGGAATATTGTCAACATACAGGAGACAGTTATTATTTTGTGCTATCATTCTTCTTATTGCTCATTATGGGATGTTGGGCTGTTTTGGGCCATTATCATTCATTTCACAAATGTGTTTTAGTAGCAGTGAGTTTCATGCAATCTCGCTGGCAGCACACGTACGCACAGCTAAGCTTGATTACACCCAATTAACTTCCTCCTGAAACGCCTGCTGCGCTTCAGACGCCGCTCCGTTGATACACGGATGGACGGACGGATGAATGAATGGATATACGGATGGATGAATGGACAGATGGATGGATGGATGGACGGATGGATGGATGAACGTATGGATGGATGGCTGAACGGACAGATGGATGATGGATGGATGGATGGATGGATGGACGGACGGATGGATGGATGGATGAACGGATGGATGGATGGATGGATGGACGGATGGATGGATGGATGGATGGATGGACGGACGGATGGATGGATGGATGGATGGACGGATGGATGGATGGATGAACGGATGGATGAAGGGATGGATAAACGTATGGATGGATGGATGAACGGACAGATGGATGATGGATGATGGATGGATGGATGGATGAATGGATGGATGGATGGATGGACGGACAAATGGACAGATGGATGGATGGACGGATGGATGAAGGGATGGATGAACATATGGATGAACATATGGATGGATGGATGGATGGATGGATAGATGAAGGGATGGATGGATGGATGAACGGATGGATGGATGGACGGATGGATGAAGGGATGGATGAACGTATGGATGGATGGTTGGTTGGACAAATGTACGGACGGCCGGATGGATGAACGGATGAATGAACGTATGGATGGATGGATGGATGGATGAACGGATAGATGAAGGGATGGATGAACGTATGGATGGATGGATGGATAAACGGAAGGATGGATGGATGGTTGGAAAAATGTATGGACGGCCGGATAGATGAACGGATGAATGAACGAACAGATGGATGTATGGACGGATGGATGGATGGACACATGCATGGATGGATGGATAATCGGATGAATGAACGGACAAGTAATGGACGGACGGGTGTACTCAAATGTTTGTGAAGCCTATTCAAATCAAATGCGAGATGATAATATGAGACTAATTGCTTATTTGATTTCAGGCTGAATAATTTAACCCTTTACAGCAGGTGGCGCTGATGCACAAACACACCTGACAAACAGGAAACACATGCTGGATGACTGCTTCTACTACTCAGAATCAATTAGTGTAGTATGCTAGAATGCTAGTGTGCTGTTCTGAATTCAGTCACAGTGACGGTACGCAGATCGAGCAGCTGTTACGATGCACTGAGGAAGATATATTTTGAGTAAAGTATTCTGTTGCATCTGATTGATGTAATTAAAGTCCAAATGAATTACTAAACCCAGCAGAACACACTACAATTAAGTAAATATATTAAATAATATAAATGAAGAAAATGTGTGACGACAGAATTTTCATTGCTTAAATGTCACCCTAACTCTATCCTGAGCTTTCCAACCCCTAATACACACACACACACACACACACACACACACACACGGAGCAGGCTGATCATGTGACGGTGTGCATATGTCCAGTAATCATCTGCCAGCAGCTGCTGTCACAGCACATCTCACTCACACACTCCTGTGAGCAGCACAACGAGAGCCGGCAGACACACTTGCGTGTGTGTGTGTGAGATACTCTTACAGAAACAAGCATCATGAAAACCAGCTGCCTTTATGAAAGAGACTCAAAATAAGAGTGTATATGACAGAATACACACAGGAGAGATGATCAAAACATCTGATCCAATAGCACAATGATCCATTAAAGCCACACAAATCCAACAATTACACACAATACACACACACACACACACACACACACACACACACACACACACACACACACACACACACACACACTCACTCTCTCTCATACAAATGTCCAGCACTCCGTCAGCATATTAAACCTTTAATGTAAATTGAGTTTACAATAAATCCACCAGCGGCAAAAAAGATGGATGAAATTAAAATTGCTCTCTTGGCAATAGTTACTGACATTTGCATATACATAATGTATTCTGCTGGAGAGAGTGAAAGAGAGAAGAAGTGAGAAAAGAGGAAGAGTGAACAAGAGCAGGTGAGAGTCACATGAGCCTCATTACTGGAGGAAGACAACCAGACACAAAAGCTGCGTCCCAGTTCAAAGACCGCATCCTTCGGAGGATGCTCCGAGTCTAGCCTTCACAGGATTTCCTAATTGTGCCACCAGGTGTTCCCGATTGCCGCTCCTGTCGCGTAGAAACGGTGCGAGAAGAGACCTGCCATCCTAAAATGTTATTTGCTAATGAAACTGAAAATAACTATGGAGCCTGAATTGAACTGCATTGTTCATTTAATTATGTTGTTTTTCTCATGTTGAATTGAAGCAATTTTGTAATTAGTTGTAAAAATGTATGTTTAGTATTTGTAGAACATTTTATTTTCATTTACAAATGTTATTTAGAAACAAAAAAAAATGTATAAAAGAATTTCTGTCATTTAGAAATTATAAGTTGCTTTGCAAAAATAAACAATGTTCATAAGTATTTCTTGTCTTTTATTTACAAGTTTCAACTTATAATACAAAAATAAAACAAACAATGCACAGAAATTACTTCATTTACAAAATTACAAAAGTAACGTACAGAACATCTTTCATTTCTTTTTTAAGTTTCGCAGCAGCCCCATTTTCTCCAGAACTGTCCTAAAACAAAAAGGAAAGACTTATGAAAATTAAGACAGGACTGCAAAATATGACACAGCAGGACATGCATACAAAATACTCCAGAAATCATATTTCTGGATCATCAAGTTTGCTTAAAAAGTTTGTGGACATATCTTGCATGACAGTGCAAAAATAATAATAATAATAATAATAATAATAATAATAATAATAATAAAAAAACAAGTGAAAAAAAAAAATACAAGCTAGCTATTTGAGTAAATTCAGACACAATACTTACATTTATAGGCCTTCACATCGGCCGCCACAGAACTAGGCCTATCACCCACTATTTTGATTGAATAAAAATCCCGTCTTCACCGGCGTGCTGTGAATTCTGGGATAGGGTACGCTGCAAAGGATCCATCTGATGTATCCTTCATTTGCTGGCGAAGCGGAGGGCGCATTTGAAGTCGCTTTCAAATTATGTCAGCTTTCGTCCCACCGCGGTGACGCAATCAGCCTTCAAATACGCACTTCGAAGGATGTAGCCCATGAACTGGGACGCAGCTAAACACACAATTCAACATCCATCAGGACTGCATTCCACACACACACACTCACACACACACACACACACACATTCACTCATTCACTCACAAATTCATCTTGATAATGTCAAAATTCGGTTGAATAGCTGTCAGCTGTTAAATTGAAGAACACAATTAGATAATACCAATTTAGGTCAAACAATTACCGAGCAATGTTTAATTCTGTTCAGTCTGTGGTGTAAAAAGATCACATTAGCAAGTAAAGAAAAAAACACTTCAGCAAAACATGCTCAGCTCAAAGTGTCTGAATCATTTTTGCTCCCAAATTTTACTGGAAGTCCACCGTATGAAGAATTTTTGGGTATAATGTGTCACAGCTTACTTTATTTTGCTATCCTCACTTACATAAAGGAACTATAGTGTCCTGCACCCTCTAGTAAAAAATATCAAAAATGATATCTGCTGTCTGAATAATTTTTGTTTTAACTGTATGCGGCTAGTTAAATACTGTAACCGAACACAGAAAGATTTCTGCATCTTTACTCTTGTCGTGTGTCTATTGTCTCAGCTCGTGTGTTTGCGCTGGTCTCAGGTCAGGTTCTGTTCATCACTGACCATTAGAGTAACTTCTGACCCCAGATCCGCACAGCCTCAAATCCACACTAAAAGCTCTCAGAGATGCAGAGAAA